AATTTCGCTATTAAATTTAGATTATAAATTATTCAGTAGTATTTTGGCAGAAAGATTTAAAAATTTTTTTAGTAAATTGGATTAAGGAGGAACAAACTGGGTTCCTTCCGGGTAGAAACCAGAGTGAAAATGTGAGGACAATAATTGATTTAATTGAATACTACGAAAAAAATATACAAAAAGAGGTTATGTTCTTAGCGATCGACGCAGAAAAAGCGTTTGATAAATTAAATTGGAATTTTTTCAAATTATTATTTAAAGAAATGGACATGGGCTTTCATTGGCAGAACTCAATTGAAGCTATATACAAAACACAACAGGCAAAAATAATAATAAATGGACAGGAGAGTAGAGGAATTGAAATAAGAAAAGGAACAAGACAAGGGTGTCCGCTGTCACCACTAATTTTCATATTTACATTAGAAATCCTCCTAAATAATATAAGAGAAAATAACGAGTTAAAAGGGGCAAGGATAAATGGCTATTCCTATAAATGTAGAGCTTTCGCGGACGACATAATTTGTGTAATTGAAGAACCAAATAAAAATTTAGGTGAGTGGTTAGAGACAATCAAGGAATTCGGAAAAGTAGCGGGATTCAAATTAAATTTAGAGAAAACAGAAGCAATAACAAAAACATATCAAAAAAAGATAGACCAAATTAAGGAAAACTGGAAAATACGTATAGTCCCCAGAATCAGATATCTAGGCATCATAATCACACCAAAGAACTCCCAATTACTACAAAATAATTATATGAAGATTTGGAAAGAAATTAAAATACCTAGAAAAGTGGAAAAATTTAAAGATATCCTTTTTGGGAAGAATATCATGTGTAAAGATGAATATCTTACCGAGGATGATGTTCCTCTTCCAAAATCTCCCAATAATTAGGAATCAAAAGGGAATTAAAGAATGGAACAAAGGCATCAGAAAATTTATTTGGCTTAAGAAAAAACCCAGGATAAATTTTAAAAATTTAACAGACACAAAAGACAGAGGCAGACTAGCCTTGCCTGATTTAGGATTATATGTGGAAGCATGTGCATTAGCTTGGGCCTCAGAATGGATAAAATTAAAGAAAGAAAAACTTCTGAATTTAGAAGGTTTCAACCTAAGAAGGGGTTGGCATGAATATATTGGCTATGGAAAAACAAATTTGGGAAAGAATTTTGGAAATCATTTTATTAAAGCAGCGATTATCAAAACATGAAACAAGTACAAAATAAGGATGTACAATAAAACACCGACATGGATTTCACCACTAGAATCTTGTCAAAGAAAGGAATTAGGGTGGATCAAGTGGCCAAATTATAGAGAATTGATAAAAGAGGAGAAAAAAGAAACAACTCTGATACCCCTAAATGAAATAAAAAAACATATTCAAATATGACCTGGTTACAATATAGGCAAATTCAAGAATTCTACGGTAAGGATAAAAAAATAGGATTTGAAACAAAGGGAAATATATGGGACAAAATTTGGGAAATAGGGAAGAAAAAATATCAAAAATATATAAAGAACGATTGAAATGGAGTACAGAAGAAGAAGGAGTGAAAGAATGCATGATAAAATGGGCAAAAAATGTGGGCAGGGTGATAAGATTAGAGGAATGGGAAACAATTTGGAAAAAGAAAAGAAAATATTTAAAGGCATATGACATGCAAGAAAACTGGTCAAAGATGTTTTTTAGGGGGTATCTGACACCGCACAAATTGAATAAATTTTATAAAAATATTATAATAGTTTCCGAGGTTTTTTGGGGAGCCTTTCTTATATATTGGAACTTCAATTGCACATTTCCAGTTAGCTGGAATTTTTCCTGAGTTGTTTATTTTGAGTGAGATGAAAAAGGCAGCTAATAGTGTAGCCCACCATTGTATATTTGATTTTATAAATTCTGTTGGTATGAAAATATTCCTTGGGGCTTTGTCATTTTTATGTTGTGAAATGAGTTCCACTATCTCCTCTGGTGTAACCACACTTCAATTTGGGATCCCTGTGAATAATAGGTCTGGGGGACTGGAGTATTGCAGACAGGAGTAGTTATCGAAGAAAATGCCTCTAAAATACCCAGGGGGGTGATTTTGTACTCCTTTGGTATCTCTGACAGGATGGTGTTCGGTTGACAGTATACATTTTCTATGATGTCTTCATCAGCATATAATGTTGGTGCATAGGCACTTACGACAGTTATGATAGTTGCCTGTTGGTTTTTGGTAAGGTTAATTTGGAGGGTTGAAAGTAGTTGGTCAAAGCTGATGTGTGTTTCGGACAGATGCTTCACCGTGTATTCTTTGTTCTTGTTCAGGCTGTCCCTTCCAGAAGAAGATGCAGCCTCCTTTTAATTCCTTCAGCTGTCCCTCTCCTGCTCACTGGGTGTCTTGAAGTGCTGCTATGTTAATGTTAAAGCATCTCAGCTCCCTTGAAATAATAGCAGTCCTGCATTCAAAGCATTCACTGTCTGTGTTGTCCAACAATGCCCATATGTTCCACGTTCCAAGGTTCATCTTCTTTTTTGGCCACAGGGTGTTGGCCCTGAGATGAATTGTCACCTTGTGGTGGTGAGGGGACTTGCATTTTCCAATTAACCTTCTGGCAAAACCATCAGAGTCATGTGCTCCCAGGGGGAATGCAACAGATGAGAAGCTACAGTTGTCATGTTAATTGTGCCACTGAGTGGGAGCCTCATTCTGTCAAGACTGCATGTTGATTGGCTGTGCACTCATCTCCACACATAAATCAAACTCACATGCAAGTGCTGTCTTTCAAGAAAAATAAAACAAAACCAACAAAAGTCCCATGGCGACCAGCAAGTGGTGACAGGGGCAGGTCAGTGAAATCTGGAAGCCCCTAGTCACTGACTGGAATATGGGCGATAGATTCGGCCATTTTATCTCAAGGTCCAAGGCAGTTAAATAGTCCATCATCTGTATCTATGACTGAGCAGCCCTTTTTAGGGTCCACCATGCTCACCCTATATGGGAAGGGGGCTAGAAATAAGATAAGAGAGGCAGACTATGGTTGGGGCACCTTTTCTAGACTGCTGTGTCCAGAGGGATTATTACTGTACACAAAAGAAGGCCTTCCCTTCTCTTCCTTTCAGATTAGCATAACCAGTATAGCAATGCTAGAATGGGGAGGCAGGTGGATATAGTTCAAAAAAGTAACATTTCTAAGTGATATGATTATATTTATAAGATTTGTGTTGTGGGTGAAAAAAATATCAGAGGTCTGGTTTCTGAACAAATAAAAATTTAATTTTTTTAACCAAAATACATTCTTCAAAAAACCAACAATTTATTTTCAGATGTATAATTTTTCCTACAAATCATGATTTTTACACATTTTTCTAGAATTTTTTTTATAAAAATGCTAAGAAATACAAACCACTATTTTAATCATTATTTTTGTAAACTATCTTAAAAACTTCTGAAATTATTTGGTTTTGTGATGATAAAAGAAGTGATGACTTTAATCGATAATATCTGGCAGTAATAGTATATTGCTTTTAAACATGTATACTTCATTTAGCAACCATGCCAAATCCCTGAAGATGAAATTGTCATCCACAATAATAAAAGTGCAAGTAGTCAAATATTAATCAGGTCTTTTTAAGCAACTGACATCCTGATACACTATCAGAGCACTTTTTTGTTTTCTTAACTGTGTGCCTCGCCTGCCACCAGTCTGCAGTGGAGGGGAAAACATCACAGAAATACTGGTATCTTAAGCTCTTTCTTTAAACTCAGTTCTCTTCTGCAAATGGAGGGAAAATATCTCAGAAATAATGCTATCTTAAGCTCTGTCTTTAAACACAGTTCTCTTCTGCAGATGGAGAGGAAAACATCTCAGAATTAGTGGTATCCCGAGCCTGTCTTTAAACTCAGTTTTCTTCCACAGATGGAGGAGAAAATATCTCAGAATTGGGGCTATCTTAAGTCCTATCTTTAAACTCAGTTTTCTTCTGCAGATGGAGGGAAAAACATCACAGAAATAGTGGTATCTTAAGTAACTCTGATGCTTTTAATTCAGGCCACAATGAAGAATATAAGGACAAACCATGTCATTGCCAAAAATAATGGAAAGGGAACACCCCCCCCCCCCCCCCCCCCCCCCCCGCACATGGCCGCCAGTTAAAGAAGAAGTGAAATAGTAGGGCTGGAATGGGCACTGGGCTGTGTGTGTGGTGTGTGGAGCATCTTTGATATTTTGAAGAAAGGAATGGTGTCCTGCCCTGTCTCCCTTCTGCTGCTGCTCCTGGAGAAGTTAGAGGGTGGGGCCAGCGAGGGGAGGGGAATGTTTTTAAGGGGATTTTATTTATAGAAAGAAATAAAATCCCTAAAAATTGGGAGATGGCCCAAATGCTATAAAACTTGGTGGGCTAAGAGTGGTAGATGTGTCCTACATGTGTGGCAATTTTCACCTGTCTCGCCCTAAAACTGAGGGGAAGGGGAGCATTGGAAGTCTGCCTATGTTGGCTAATGGTCCAAAAATTTCCATTCTTTTGGACGTGGAACAAAAAAGCTGGTTAGGAAAGGCGCCCATTTTCAGAAGGTGCACAAAAATGAAAATGGCTGCCTACGGGAATGAAACAAACTGAAAGAAATAGTGATTCCATGCAAATGCACAAGACTAATAAACATTATAAACCATATTAGGTTTTGACTTTTTTGTATTCTTGAGCAATCTTTTTTCATATTCTACTACTGCAAGAATAGCAATATTGAAGAGTTTTTGTTTGGGTTTCTTTTTTGCTTAAAATAAAACATAGTAAGGTGGTATAGAAGGAATTCATTCTAGTCCAAACTGTTCCAGTTTTTTTAATAACAGAAATTCTTTATGTACCTGTCATATTCAAGTATGCATGAATAATAATAACAATATTATTAGTGTACTGTATACACTAATAATAATAATAATAATAATAATAATAATAATAATAATAATAAATAACAAGTACAATGGTAAACTTCATCCATTCCCAGCAGCTTTTCAGTTTCAGTTCTGACATTTGCATTTTTCTATTTTTGATTTATCCTCATGGATGTGTGATTTGTCATTCTTGCGAGAGTCACTTCTGAAATGTAAAATGAAATGTTAAAAAGAAACATATATGTTGCCACTATATACATAACTGGCACGAATGTCATCTCTTTTTCCTTGTATGCATTATCCATAGCTTGAAATTATAGCCAAAATTCACTAAAGCAGTTAGAAATATCTGTCTAAAGTTAAACATTTCTGTTGTTTCAGGAGCTGCAGGCTGGCATTACATCGAAGATTCTGCTTTTCATTGTCACATCACATTTTCAAACCACACCAATTCATTTAGAAATTTGGGATTTGTCTGAGGACAGGACATGAGGAAAATCTCAAATATGTACTTTCAGATATTGAGATCAATGGTGTATTTAGCCATACCTGCACATCTCAGACCAATCACTCCAAGGAGAATTTTTGTTATAGTGATCCCTGGATCTCATAAAGCACTTTGCATGTCGGCATTCACGCTTGTAGCAGGCTAGAATATCTCCTTTTTGATATAGCTCATCCTTAGTAACTTCACATGTCTAAAAATAAAAGCATGAACAACTTTAGTGGACAAGAAGTGCTCGTGATCAAGTTCACATTGTGGTTGTATCAGAGAGAGGACAGGTTCCTGCATGTGGATGGGTTCTGTTATCAGGATCTTTCTGATTTCCTTTGGGATTCAATCTAGTTCAAAGGGCATGAAGTCTGTATTTATATATTAATTAAAATGTTTCTACCCCACACTCTACAGTGAGGCCTCAGAGCTGCATACAACATAATAAAAATTCCAGAGAAAAACATCAGAATAATTTGAAAAGGATAAAATATATTAAATACACCATCAGATTAAAACAAAAAGGAAAAAGCTAAAACAATTATCATCAGAGCTAGGCTACAATACATGGAGTTTATTGGATTGGAGGCCAATCTGAAGTGTAGATGCGCCATTTATAGCTCCTATTTTGCACCTCCCATTTTTAGAAAGTGTATGATGCATCTGAAGAAGAGAGTTAGTATCCTGGAATGCTAATGCTAGGATAAACTAGTTAGATGACCTTATGCTTTCTTATGCTGAAACATCCTTACATGGCTGTCTCTCTGACTGGTGCATTAAAGTATCTTAAAAAGAAGAACATCTCACAATGATTATTACCTGTTCCCTTCCATGTCTAACCACTTTGATGTTGTACGTTAGTCCAAAATAACTGTACGGGGTGCTCCAGGTCTTAGGGGGTGTCCATGACAAGAGGCCACTTTGGTGAACCCAGCACTCAGTAGTATCAGGCTTTCCTGGAAGAGCAAATTAAATCATCATCAGTTTTACTGTATACACTAAATTAATTGCATTTGGTCTCTAGTAGTAGTAATACTACCATAAATATGCCATAGCCGAGGAACTAAATTCATATTAGGGTTGACAGCTAAGTGTCTGTTACAAGTTGCATGTATTTGTGTGTATGTATAGGTTCAGATCTTTTCAATATTGTCTGAATGAGGGAGGGGGCAAAGTGAAGCCTGTTATTTTACTACTCTTTCACCATTGACCAAAAGGAAGACAATCTATCATACTATCTAAACCAGGGGTCCACAAACTTTTTAAACCAAGGGCCAGGTCACAGTCCCTCAAACTGTGGAAGGGCTGGATTATAATTTGAAAAAAACATGAATGAATTCCTATGCACATTGCACATATCTTATTTGTAGAGCAAAAACACTTTAAAACAATACAATAATTAAAAAGAAGAACAATTTTAACAGATATAAGTTTATGAGTATTTCAATGGGAAGTGTAGACCTGCTTTTGGCTGATGAAATAGGATTGTTGTTGTTGTTGTTGTTGTTGTTTTTGTGTTCTTTCAAGTCATTTCAGACTTAGGTTGACCCTGAGCGAGGGACGGGTAAATGACCTTGGAGGGCCGCATCCGGCCCCCGGGCCTTAGTTTTAGGACCCCTGATCTAAACTAATGTAAAGAATATCAGTATGTAAATAACACCAGTAAACCTATTATGATACAGATATAGTACTCTGATAAGGTTGCTAGACATCTTGATCTGATAAACTGGTTGTTGTCTACACCATATTATTCAGTTTTATCCCATTCACAAACTTATCTGAAATGTTGATTTTGGAGTGAGTGTGCTAATTGAAATTGCGATGTAGGAGACCTTATACTGCCATCTAGTGCTACTATCCAATATTGTAGATGAGGGAAGAAAATGTTTCCTGATCAAGGACTTTGTTCCTTATCTCTTTCTCAGCTTTTTCTTAACTGAGAAAGGAAACTTTTTTTCACAACTTACTTATGTCCTTGAGAAAGAAGGTGTGTTGGTGGGTTTCACATACATCTCCGTGGTAAACATGTAGATATGTCTCAATTTGTTCATACTCCTCAGTGGATGAGCAGTGTTGTACTTTTTTGCAGGAAACAGAGTACATTCCTTCAGTTCCTCCATGATTCAAATCCATAGTATTCTTCACTATCTCTCCACAAGATATGGTACTTTTGGACCTGACTTCAAAACTAAGATGAGACCAAGTTATTTAATTTTTCCTGTCAAAAGATTAAAAACACTGCTTCCTAATTTTGTTTTTCTTAGTAGCAAGAGCACATTGAATATTTAAATGTAGTCATTCAGACAATGCTTTCAAGGGAAGTAGTCATATATTGTCTCCAACTAAAATTAAACAATTCACATGCTACATCAAAGATTCATTAAATTATTACGTAATTAAGCTTTCACGGGGTAGACTCCATGCCAACATTTGCATAAGATGCATCCACATTTGAGAAGGCCTTGGCCTTCAAATAAAACTGTTCCTAGACAGTGTTCTCCTATCTCTCATGTTGTCAGCCTATTATAGGAGGAACAACATCAGCTATGCCAGCATTGTCTCATTCACTTTTTCATCCTTAATAAAGAGGTGATATATGCTATCATTCTTCTTCGTCAGTCTCTAGACAAAAGAATGTCTTATTGTCTTATTTTCTGCTGTTGCTCCAAGACATTTCAGACTAATTTCTACTGAACACATTATCAAAGAAGGAGGAAGGGGAAGTGGCCTTGGTTCACAATACTATTTGTTTCAGTAAACACTTCTAATGCCTTAGTTCTTGCTATGTTCCTTCAAATGAATTCTCACTTTTCATCATTTCCTCTAAATCAGTTAATGTGATTTTTATTCCAAATTTCTCATTGTATGGGAAAATCCACATTTGGACAGGAAAGACAATAGAGTGAGGCTCCAGCTTTAGCTTTTTCCTCCCCCAAGTATAAGGTGCTGTCATCCCAGATTATAACAAGTACATCGATTTGAGGCAAAGAGTTTAAAAACAGAAACACTATTTATCCTATAGAAATATCTAACTGGCCCCTTTATGTTTCGTTCTCTCCTCCCAGTCTTCAGTTGCTGACCTACATCCAATTAGTATCCTGTATTGAATCAATTGTTGATTGGTAAGACAACACATATGTAGATACATTGACTCAATGAGCTTACTCTAGTTGAGAGTAGTAACTGGACCACAGGTTCATTCCAACCTCTCAAAACATTCAAGTTTTCAAATGGAGAATGCTTATCATCAATTGTCTGCCCAGGTTTTTTTGTCTACATATCCATTTTTCCTTACACATAAAAAGGATGAAATGACCCTGTTTGCTATAAAATATTGTTTTAAATTATGTGGGGGAGGGGGTGGGGGGAAAGAATAATGCTCACCCAGCTTCAATCTCAAACTTCAACTCTGAGTCTTGGATAGTTGAGCTCCAAAAGCATGTGAAATTACCAGAGTAGTTGTTTGCAGTACATCTGAAGAAGGTCTTATTTGGTTCTATAACAAAACAAAGAATTAGTTATAGTTGTGTGCAAATCATTTCTGACTTTTGGCTTTTCTTGGCAGAATTTGCTCAGAAGTGGTCACTTTTGCCTTCCTCTGACATTGAAAGTGAGTAACCTGCCCAAAGTCACCCACTAGTAGGTTTCCATGGCTGAATGGGGATTCAAATTTTCATTTCTCAGTGCCCTAGTCCAGCACTTTAACCATGTTGGTTTTCAAAACAATAATAAATAGGTACATTTAAAAGAGCAATCCTTTTTCACTCTCACATGCTTTTGTCTATGGGACCAGTTCAGCTTATTCTCTTTGAATAATGCTACAATAGTCACAATGAGCTATAGTAGTTAAGTTTTGGAAACCCATGTGTGGGTTCTTTCCCTGGAGGAAGCAAGGGCAATCCTCCTCTGAATAAATCTCACCTATACAAACTCATAATAGGTTCCCTTAAGGTTGCCATAAATGAGAAACTATTTGAAAACATCTGCTATGGTAGCACTGTATAGAGAACAATGTGAGTCATGAAGTTACCTTTGAGGTCTTTGAGAACTGATTCAGCTATTTCCCCATCAGGACGCATCTTCATTACACAAAAGGTTTCAGAACTTATAAGTTCGTGTGTGGTATTATTTCGACAATTATAAGTACCAGCATCTGGGGGCTCCTTGAGTAAGATTTCCAAGGACTTGCCATTTCCTTTCCATATCCCGTCTTTCTCCCAATAGACATCATCAGATGTTTCACAGTCAACCTCTTCTTTCTTAGGCAGAATTAGAGAATCTATAGTCCATTCTAATTTTACTTTTCGTACTGAATATTGTAAAATGTTTAAAATTGGTGGGGGGGGGGGGGGGGGGAGAGAAGAAAAAAACTCAGTGTTATCTGACCAGATAAAAGAATTATCAACTACCCCCTGGTGCCTTAAACATAAAATAAACAAACAAATAAATATATTTATCTACAGACAAATTAACTCAGCTGACTGTATCAATTAAATAAATCAACACACTCAATTGAATGTAAAGGGTACAGGATTTCAAAAGAACCGTTGGCCAAAGGAACACAAATGAATGAGGGATCACATGTCTATCCTGCCATGCATTAGAGTGAATTAAAATTGGTGTCATGCATTGTTTATAGATGCATTAATGGCTAATGATTTGATCTACATTATTTAGCCATACTCAGAAAAAAATTGTGGAAATCAATGGGATTTCAATCAGTGTATCTTACAGATTTCAATTAACCTATTTCAGAGGTAGAAGTCATACACAAGCTTTGGTTGTGATGGACTGCAATCCAACATTTCTTGCCATTGATAGTGCTAGCCAGAATTGCTGGGAGCTGTAGTTCAACACAGATGCAGGACCCCATGATGACTACATCAGGTTTACTTTAAATAAGAGTAGATCCAACCCACAAGTCATTGATGCATAGTAAGATTCTTCTTAGTATATTGTTAGATGACACAGAACATATGATACCAAAGGGCTCCCTATTTGTCATGCAAATGAAGGTAATGGAAGAAATGCAAGTATTGAGAGAATGGTGCTGAACCCTTCCCCAATTGGACACATTCTGAGAGACAACGTCCCTTCCCTGCATGCCTTTAACTCGGCATACTTTCAAGTCAGCAGCATAAATGGGCAGAAAATATGAGAAATAATAAACATTCAGTCTGATAGGGCCTACTATAAGTATTACTTCTTTCCTGCCACTTTCTTCCTCCAGAGGACTTTTCCCCTCTATCTTCTTCAATAGCAGAGGACCAAAAATTACCGATGCAATATGCAGAGCTTGGGCCAAAAATGGACTACAACTCCCAGAATCCATTAACCAGTGTGGCCAGATTCTGGGCACTGTAATTCAGAAAGTAACTTATTCCAGTCTGGTAGTTCTGACTCCAAAGACGAAAGGTCACAATGCTTATTCCTAATGGCATTGAGAATGGGGAAAAAGTTAAAACATTGTAATAATTTACAATCCCTTAGAAGAGAATTATTTCAGAAGGATAAGCTTTACAGTTTTAGATTTTATTTCTATTCTCCAAATAGGGTGAGATATGCAATCCAAACATGCTGCATTGCTTTTTTAAAATGCTTTTAAAATGTTAAGTATTTCTGCAATTTATTTGACTGATAATTATTCTGTGAAAATGATATTTCACTGCAGCATTCACCTAAGTTGCATTAAGTTCATCAGTATTCTGTGCACAGGAGTCCCCGGTGGTGCAGTGAGTTAAACCCCCTGTGCCGGCAGGACTGAAGACCAACAGGTTAGAGCAGTGGTTCTCAACCTGTGGGTCCCCAGATGTTTTGGCCTCCAAATTCCAGAAATCCTAACAGCTGTTAAACTGACTGGGATTTCTGGGAGTTGTAGGCCAAAACACCTGGAGACCCACAGGTTAAGAACCACTGGGTTACAGGTTCTAATCCAGGGAGAATGTAGATGAGCGTCCTCTGTCCGCTCCGGCAGGGACATGAGAGAAACCTCCACAAGGATGGTAAAACATCAAAACATCCGAGCATTCCCTGGGCAACATCCTTGCAGACGGCCAATTTCCTCACACTAGCAGCGACTTGCCATTTCTCAAGTCACTCCTGACACACACACACACACACACACACACACACACACACACACACAACCACAGGAACAATTGGTGACACCCCCCTCACCGAATAAACCCTTTATATCTTGTTCACATATTTTCTTTTAATTTTATGTGAGAGGTGTTATCCTACTATGACCCATTTCCTTTGCTTTCATAGCTAACATCTGTTTTGCATTGAATTGGAACTTTCTAAAATCTGTTACTAAGTAATGTTTCTAAAAAACAGTTTGAGAGCACTTTCACAAAGCTTTGTTGTAGTTTAAAAAGAAAACACACAATTCTCAGCATTGTACCCTTAGTATAAGTAGACTCTCAGTTAATCTGAATTCAAGCAACTGGCAAAACAATAGAAGAAATTATTCTTTCAATAAAAAGCTGTCTTTATAATACAATAAAAATGTATTACATTAAGTTAAGCTTATCTTTGTTTGTCTTTATAGGATTTTGGTTAGTGTGTGTGTGTGTGTGTGTGTGTGTGTGTGTGTGTGTGTATATATATATATATATATATATATATATATATATATATATATGGCTGGAGTTATACTTTAAAAAAATGTACCGCTTTCAACTTACATACATATTCAAGAACGTATCTTGTTTATAACTTGGGAACTCCCTGTATACGTGTGTGTGTGTTTGTAAGCTTTAGTTAGCATAGGGAAGGGTTAACTGAATTTTTTAATACCAATGATATTTAATTCTGTTTTAATGTTTGTATATTTATATTTTAAATTGTGTGGAAATGCTTTTAATGTATGCCACTTTGAATCTCCTGGTGGAGAGAAAAAAGAGGGGTATAAATAATAATCATCATAATCATCACCATCATCACCCCCTGTGGTGTTTGTTTTGCTGCTTATGCCCATGTCCAGAAGATTTCATCACACTTTCTGTCTCTGTAATAATTGGATTTTGAAAAAAATGGCTTGTTGTGGCAAAAATAATTGATGATAAAGCTTCAGTGGAGACACCTTTTCCCCATCATTGGAGAATCACACATATGTGTGTGTGTGTGACTGTGTGTGAGAGAGGGAGACTTACCATTTCTTTTTATTTCTTGTTTTGCTTCTGAATGAAAGCTCAAGGTCACAACAGAAATCAGAATGAACGCTAGGATTGCCATCTGTTAAAGAAAAAAGGACATTGAAGAATTTTCAAAGGAAGGATAAAAGAACACCTGATTATCTGATTGCACTTTTTAGGGGTCCAATTAAGAAACCTAAATGTTTTCCAGTGAGGTGTCCTTACAACTCATCATTTTACTTGTGTCTAACCAAGCACAACAATCCAGATTAGACTATTCCAGAGCTGATCTGGACACATCACAGGAGTGCCCCAAAGCCATTCTGCTTTTCATATGATCAGCAAGGCAATAAGTGCTCTGCTTACCAGGGGAACATCGCCATTTCACCACTGGTGGCATTGCTTTTGGTGAAGTCTCAATAGAGCACTTAGCCATGTGATCACTAGAAATGACATCACCATCAAGGTTCTGGTATTGCCAACAAACCAGATGTGGGTCTTTTTGATGTGTGGACACTGAATCCAGCCTAATTCAGGTGGCCACATGTAAACAACACCAAATTAGTTTCCAGAGTAACTTACAGTTCTTTTTGTGTGAGATCAATGACCAGAAGATTTGCTTCTGTTGCTGAAACTGGCCATGCATCATTTGGACTACCTGCAGTCGGTTCAAAGTGAACACATTTTATTTGGCCTGTGCAAGCATGTCCCAAGTTGATGAATGTCTTAGTTTGGATTCCATTGGCTGCAACTAAGGGTACTACAGGATTGAATTGTCTACTTGTTTTTCATTACAAATGCCAATAAATTTACATATACATAGGCTTAGGTATATGACCAAGTGTTAAGGATGATGAGAAATACACTCAAAAATGTTTGAAGAACCTTAAAAAAAGCTGTATCCTGCACAAGAAGTAAAAACAAAGTTTAAATTAGTTTAAACTACAGGGCCAGTTAGGAGGAGTGAATGTAGAAGATCTGAAATTTGAGAGGCTGAGAACATGGAAAGGGTTCAAGGAGAAGTCTTACTTGGTTTGAAACAAAACAGCTACTGTGTAGTCTGTGTGTCAAATCAGCATAAGGCTAGATGTTTATTTTATTTGTTATATTATAAACCTTTATTGTTTTTTTATTTCCTACATTGTTGTTCTTAATGTTTTCATTTAATCATTAACAAAAACAACTGTTCACACTTTGTCATACTAAACCCACAGACCAGTACTGTTTTTTATCCAGAACAGGAGTCACCTTGAGGACAATTACCAGCTCTAGGGAGAGATCTTGAGAGTATTGGAGCCCACTTGTGGAGCCAACCTTGATAGGTCTTTCTCATTATTTGCTTTTGGATTCCTACCTGAACAATCAGTTTCATCAAGTCTGTTTCATGAATATTGCAGCATTGTATATTTACCAGCATTGCTTTTAAAATATCCTTACTAATGGTTTAGAATGGAAGAAAACCAAAGATATCCTTACCTTTTCAGCGGTGGCTTGCTGCTGCTAGTTTCAATGATGCCTCTATGAACTGGAGTGGATGGATGATGCTGTGTGTCACTTGCCTTAAATACCTTGTCAGTTCTGAAACCAAAGAGATACTTGACTTAGCCACAGGGCCACAAAATTACAACACATGGAGCAAGTTCCCTTTTTAAAAATAAGCAATAAAATTTAAATACAGAAGAAACCACTGGGTAAAAGTTTGGGAGTCCCAAATAATTGCTGAAGAGGAAATTGGATTATTTGATCGCCAGTTGTCCTATGCACTGGGAAATTCCTTTCCTACTTCATTCTCTGGCTGGCTACAAATAACAGACACCCAAAGAAACTGTAGTGTGACCTCACTGGGAATCCAGATGACAAGATGCATGAGAGAAATGGAAAACACTGGATCAATTCGAGTGGAATAGATAAAAAGTAAAGCTGTGATTCATGATTTTGCAGAAGCAACTAACATGGATATTGACAACATTATGTAATTTCAAAATATGTTTTGCCAACATATAACATATGATGTCTGTGATAATGTGGAAACAGATTTATTGTGTGTACATGAGTTAATTTCTGAAGAACAATGGTAATGACTTGCCTTTATAGTGGTTCTAGCCTGGTTCAGAATGGATCGGATGATGAATGATAAGCAGTATGAGCAGAAAGGAGAGGAAAATGAACTGTAAATTCCTGATTACAGAACTTTCTTCTAGAGGCAGGACTTAGTGGACAGAGAGGCAATGGGCATGATGAAATGGACATGATGACCTTGATGGATTCTTCTGGTTGGGTCAGTTTTACACTGGGGAAGAGAGGAAAGGACAGAAGGAAGTGTTTGTGAATGGCAGGTGAGAAGCCATTCACTATCCCATTTAGACTACTGTAACACACTCTATATGGGGCTGCCTTTGAAGCTGCAACTGGTCCAAAGACCATCAGCCTGATTACTGACTGGGATCTCACACAGGGAGCAAACCATTCCCAGGACCCTAAGATCTTCTGGGGAGGCCCTGCTCTCTATCCCGCCTGCTTCACAGGTGCGGCTGGCAGGGACGAGAGACAGGGCCTATTCTGTGGTGGCCCCCCGGCTGTGGAACGCCCTTCCTATGGAGGTAAGATCAGCCCCCTCGCTAATGGTGTTCCGAAGAAGATTAAAAACTTGGATGTTTGAACAGGCATTCGGTTAAACAGTGCAATGAATGTGATGATTACAGGAATGGAAATTTGGACGACGGATTGGATCACGACTCTAGTTATGAGATGCATTGTGTGGTCTATTGTTGTGTCAATATTGTGTATTATGGTTTTATGGTTTTAAATTGTATATCGTTGATTGATTCTTATCCTTGTTGTAAACCGCGTTGAGTCGCCTGTTGGGCTGAGAAACTGCGGTATACAAGTAAAGTAAAGTAAATAAATAAATAAATAAATAAATAAATAAATAAATGTTATGGCAGCTCCATTGGCTGCTTATTTGCAACTGGGAAAATTTCAAAGTGATGATCATTATTACCTTTAAAGCCCTAAACGATTTGGGCCAAGACTATCTGCCTGACTACATCTCCACATATGAGCCTGCCTGAGCTCTGTGATCAGTGGATGTGGTCCTGCTCTTGGTCCCACCACCATCTCAAACAGCAGTTCTGCAGTACAGTGACAAAACACCTTTGGATGTCTGAGCAAGAAAATTACATCAGTAGCTGGTTCTTTAAGGTGGTCCTTGCTCTTTCTCTTCTTTGTAGAATGACCCTCAATTTATCCATGTTTATATCAAAATCCATAATTTTGGACACAAACCCTGCTTTCTATTATATGACTTTATTCAGCACTTCCACAGTGTCTATGGTATTAATACAAAAAGAGATATAAAGCTGGTTATATTCATAGAATCATGGAGTTGGAAGAGACCACATGGGCCATCCAATCCAACACTCTTTGGTCATGCAGGAACACGGAATCAAAGCACCCTCAACAGATGGTTAATCCAGCCTTTGCTTTAAAAATCCCAGGGAAGGAGACTCCAAAGAAGCATATTTCACTGCTGACCAGCTCTTACCATCAGGAAGTTCTTCCTAATGTTTAGGAGGATTTCACCCCACCCCAGTTTGAATCCATTGCTCCATTGTGTCCTAGTCTCCAAAGAAGGAGAAAATAAGCTTGCCCCTTTTCAATGTAACATCCTCTCAAATATTTAAACATGGTGATCCATGTCTCCTTTCAACATTCACTTCTGCAGGCTCTTTAAGTCACTCCTCATAGGGCCTGGTTTTCAGACTTTTGATTATTTTAGCCATTTTTTGACACATTCCAGCTTGTCAGTAACCCTCTTGAATTGTGATACCCAGAACTGGACACAGTATTTTAGGGGAGGTCTGACCAAAGTAGATTAGAGGAGCACCATGACTTCCCTCAATCTAGATGCTATAGTCCTATTGATGCAGCCAAGAATTGCTTTGGCCTTTCTGGCCGCACATCATACTATTGACTCATGTTCAGTTTGCAGTCTTCTAAGATTCCTAAATCCCTTTCATGTGTACTGTTTTCAAGCAAGGTATCAACCATCCTATATCTGTGCATTTCATTTTTTCCCTAAGTTCATTTGGTTAGTTTTGGTCCAGCTCTCTAATCTGCTAAATCCATTTTGGATTCTGATCCTTTCCTCTGGTGTCTTGGCTATCCTTCCCAATTTGGTGTCATCTGTAAACCTGATAAGCATGCCTTATATTCCATCATCCAAGTCATTGGTTAAAAATGCTGAATAGCACTGGGCCCAGTGGCACCCTACTGGTTCCTTCCTTTCAGGATAAAGAGGATTTGTTAGTAAGCACATTTTGGATTAAGCCAGTCAACCAATTCCCAATCATCTTAACAGTAGCATTGTTTGGCCCATATTTTATTAGCTTATTTGTGAGAATATCATGGAGGATCTTGTCAAAAGCCTCACAGAAATTGAAACATGCTACACCCACAGCTTTTGTTTCATCTACCAAGCTTGTAACTATATCAAAAAAAGAAGAAGAAAAAGATAAGGTTATTCAGACATGGCTTGTTTTTAAGAAACTCATTTTGGATTCTTTTCTAAGTACTTGCATATTGTCTGTTTAGTGTTCTGCTTAGCACAGTACTGGTATTTCAGCATGCAGTTTTCTAGGGATAATTTTGTCTAAAATAATTCACTTTAATTATTTTCGCAATAATTGGTTGTTGTTGTTGTTCATTCGTTCAGTCGTCTCCGACTCTTCGTAACCTCATGGACCAGCCCACGCCAGAGCTCCCTGTCAGCCGTCACCACCCCCAGCTCCTTCAAGGTCAGTCCAGTCACTTCAAGGATGCCATCCATCCATCTTGCCCTTGGTTGGCCCCTCTTCCTTTTGCCTTCCACTTTCCCCAGCATAATTGTCTTCTCTAGGCTTTGCTGTCTCCTCATGATGTGGCCAAAGTACTTCAACTTTGTCTCTAGTATCCTTCCCTCCAATGAGCAGTCGGGCTTTATTTTCTGGAGGATGGACTGGTTGGATCTTCTCGCAGTCCAAGGCACTCTCAGAACTTTCCTCCAACACCACAGTTCAAAAGCATCTAGCCTTCCCTAAGGTCCAGCTCTCACATCCGTAGGTTACTACAGGGAATACCATGGCTTTGACTAGGCGGATCTTTGTTGCCAGTCTGATGTCTCTACTCTTTACTATTTTATCGAGATTGGACATTGCTCTCCTCCCAAGAAGTAAGCATCTTCTGATTTCCTGGCCACAGTCTGCATCTGCAGTAATCTTTGCACTTAGAAATATAAAGTCTGTCACGGCCTCCACATTTTCTCCCTCTATTTTCCAGTTGTCAATCATTCTTGTTGCCATAATCTTGGTTTTTTTGATGTTTAGCTGCAACCCGGCTTTTGCGCTTTCTTCTTTCACCTTGATTAGAAGGCTCCTCAGCTCCTCCTCGCTTTCGGCCATCAGAGTGGTGTCATCTGCATATCTGAGGTTGTTAATGTTTCTTCCAGCAATTTTCACCCCAGCTTTGCATTCATCACGCCCTGCACATCGCATGATGTGTTCTGCATACAAGTTAAAAAGGTTGGGTGAGAGTATGCAGCCTTGCCGTACGCCTTTCCCAATCTTGAACCAGTCTGTTGTTCCGTGGTCAGTTCTTACTGTTGCTACTTGGTCCTTGTACAGATTCCTCAGGAGAGAGACAAGGTGACTTGGTATCCCCATCCCACCAAGAACTTGCCACAATTTATTATGATCCACACAGTCAAAGGTTTTAGAATAGTCAATGAAGAATTGGTAGGTTTATTTTAAAGGAAGGCACGTTTGTAGCAGTTCAGCCTTTAGATGCTTGTCTCTCACCAACCTGCTATTTTCCACTTTCTTATCACCATAAAGAATTGTGAATAAAACGAATGACATATAGAATGTGTGCTATACATTTTTTTAAAAAAAAATGGTCTCAAACACTCACATATATGCACACTCTAGTGACTCTAATAGACTAATTGAAATAAAATCTGTCTCAAGTACCCTTTTCCATAGAAATGCAGGCTTGTTGTATGGGAGTGGAACTTCCTAAATTGTTGTGGAACTTCCTGAATTGTTAGAAAGTTCAGTGTGATCCAGACTGTGGAATTTTCTTACACAGGAAAGCCTGGTTCAGACTGAACTCTATATATGACAGGTTAGTTTTCCATTGTGATGTCATTTTAAAAAAATGGGAAAATTTAGAGTACACTAGATGAAGCTTGAATTTTATTCTGCTTCCTTATGGCATTGGCAAAGTGAGTCAAATCATAACTGGCTTTGAAAAACAGTAAGGATTGTTTTGCAAAACATGCAAATTTTATTACATCATCCTCCCACAAACAAGACTCTCTAAGCCATACCCTTTACTACTACTTCTTAAAAAATATCAGTCTGCTCATTGGGAAATTATGTCAACTCTCCTGGAGTTCTGAAGTGTGTTAATGTTACTCAGAGGTATGCAAATGGGAGTTTCTGCCTAAGAACAAAAGGGTAAGCCAACAAAAAAGTATAGAGTTTCTGGTGTTGGTTTGGTGAGAAAGCCTAAGAACTGTATTAAAAAAAATC